TGCATGTCCACTAGTGAAACTAATATATCTAGGAAGTTAAAACGTCTTATAATTTAAAGGAGAGGTATACATATTTAAAAAAAAAGCTACAAGGATAGGAGGTGGTACGTGCATGCTGTGCCAGAAAAGGAAATAAAAGTGGTGGAGGAGACGGTCTTGACTTTGACGTGGACTAAGTTGGCGCCAAAAAAGGACGGCTGGACGTGTTGTCGACAGTGTTGGCGCCTTTTCTCGTGGTCCCGTGTCGGCAGGCTCGATCACTTGATGTCTGCCCGACGCCACTTGGGCTGGAAAACGCACTGACTGGATATAACACTTAGAAATCGTGCACAGCTGCTGCTGATCCCAAAAGATAATGGTGGCACGTACATCATTAACAATCATGTAACTAGAGCAAACAACAAATAAATAAATAAAGTAAAGATCAAATAAAGAAAGTTTAATTTGAGAAACTTATTTTGTCAATCAAAAGGCGCGACAAAGATGTGGTGCAACAAATAAATAAAGTTAACAATATGATAAAGTAAAGATCTACAGAGTGGCTTTTCCAGAGGGGAGAAAAAAGTTACAACCCCCTCTTTCACAAATTTCTACTAGTGCCGAAGATTTCCGGGCCCGGAACTGAGAGAACCGAACGGGGCTAAGTATGCTAGTATTTCATCTTTCCGGTCTCCAGCGGAAAAGGCTGAGTTCTTAGATGCATGAATTTTTGCAGTTTTTCAGTCCGGTCCAGATCTTGGAGTCTACGCTAGCTAGTCGACTGGGGCCAGCAAGAAAAGCAAGTTGCACAAAGAACAAATGCAAGTGGCCAACTAGGAAGGAGTGAAGGACATGAGGAGATGGAGACATGACTCATGAGGACGTACGGATTATTTAAAATGGAGCAACAGGGCGGGAGCTTGGACATGGAAACGGATCGGATACGCATGTAATCGGATCCGGATATCACTTTTTTACCATATTTTAATTCGAATACGAATGCGAATATTTTCGAATACGAATAAAAAACGAATGTCTCGGATTCGGATTTCTATTCGGATGTATATTGTTAAATTCAACATATATGGATAAAATCTTACTACTAATTCACCATTAACTGAAGTTAACAAAATGAAAGTAAACTTCTAATATTCTCTAATATCGAAGTAAACTAAATTATAATGGATAATATTGAATAAAATAATAGATCAAGCGAAGAAATTCAAATAAAAATGGCAGAAAACAAATAGTCATTTTACTTTATCATTAGTATTGGAATTATAAAATTATCACACAAGTAGAGATAAAACATTTGTGTATATAACATAGACAAGGATAACACATAAAAATAATATTGTAATGAATAAATATTTAATAATTAAGTATATCAATTAATCAATCAATATTATATTTATATTTAACAAATATTATATTTAATAATATAGTTATGAATGCCACATAAAAATAATATTTAATATTACATCATCAACAAATAAATAAACTAAAGTATTAAAATAATTTAAAAGAACAAATATTTTAGGATTAAACTAAATTAGAAAAATACTAAAATTAATTTAATCTTTATGTATCATTATTAATTTAAAATTAGTACTAAAGTTATTTATAGATATACTATTAAATAGGTTCCATTTATTATTAGCAATAATAAAAATAAATAATTGTTCACTTATGAAGAGAAAACTTTTAAGTAGGTTCATGATACCTTATTTTCTTTGCGGATACGGATACTCTCGGATATTGTCGAATACGGATCTGGAATCGGATAGAGAAAAACACTGAAAAACGAATTTGGATACATCCACTTTGACTTCCATTTCAAAACGGATACGAATATGGATATCCATATATACAATACGAACGAATACGAATGCGAATAATTCAGATATCCATTTCCATATTTCCATCCTTATCTACCCCATTCTCCCCCATCCCCCCTGTTCATCAGCTAGCCTTCAGAGTGTCCACCGAGAACAATACGGATTTAGCCGAATTTTTTGTTATCTATTTGGCTAAGACTTTGGTGCTATTCGGTCAACCAAATTTATTTGGTTCTGAGTTGGTATTAACTGAATAAACCAAATTCTTTCTAACTTATTATATTAAACATTAAAATTGTGCCCATTTGCATATTCAAATGTACTTCTATGAGACTTTATTTGTTAGAAGCATTATTTGTTGCTTTTTATTTTGTTTTACTGCATGATCCATTTCTTATTAGGTGCTTTTCAATACAATTATGCTGTTGTATTATCTCCTATAGAAATACAATATGTATTATGATTAACCATTAACTGAACCAATTTAACCCAAATAGATTTTGGTCAGTGATTAGTTCTTCTGCAACAAATCCGGTTGCACTTCTCCAAAACTAAAATTCTTGATAACCGATTTAACCGAACCGAGTTAACCGAATGCCCAGGCCTACTTACATGGGCTGACCCCAGCCCCTACTCTCTACTGGGCCAAGCCCATATCTCTCCAACTCATCCAGCAGCACTCGTTCACGCATACCTCCCTCAGCCAATTGCTTGGTGCGTCCCCTACCAGGGCACATAGGGGCTGTTTGCTTCGCACCCTGGAAAACGCGCCTGGGGTCAGATCTGCTTGCCTGGCTGCGGCTCCCAGCTCAGGCGAGGGCGCAAACCAAATACGCCCATAGATTATGACAAGACAACATGTTTAGAGGCAGTCATAATCGGGGTTGTCCTAACCACCTCTAACCAAGGGTGCCTAGAAATCAAGCATTTCTAGAGGCGGTTTCTGACCGACCCTAAACATGAATCACACTTTTAGAGGCGGTTAGAGTCGATTTCTATGGACCAACCGCCTAATCAAGCATTTCTAGTGGAGGATTTCCGACCGCCCATATCAATCGATTTCTAGAGGATGGGTGCCATGAAAATCGATTTTTAGTAGACACCTAGAAATCAATTTTTTATCCCGAGAGAAGCACACCAGCTAAGTCTCATGGGTCGTGCATTTTCTAGAATTGGAACCTATAATCGACTGCCTTCGTGCCCCTACCACTATCCCACACATTCACTTCTGATCAAGTGTAGGATCATATTTTTTTATATTAACTTCTATGAATATTTTGATAAATATTTTGCCCTATAAACATTTTCAGGTGAAAAGGTTTTAGTTACAAATATTGGACCTCGTTGACCACATAGCATTGGTTTAGGGTGTGTTTCTATCCACAGCTGATGTCTCCATCATATCGTATTTTACTGGAATTATGTGATAAATTATATATGAGCCACATCAATAAATTAAAATGTTCTTGCAGATACTGCAACATACTCTTAAATAGGTAGATCTCTTAGGTGTACAATACAAATGAACGCATTAGATTCAATTTTTCCTTAGGAGTGAAGTCCATTTGACACCCCTGAACTTGTTGCAAACAGTAGTACAGAAAATGATTTTTGAACACGGCTCCCATTTCTAACAGAGGCAGATGACATAAGAAACTGCCTGCAAGTATATGGCGAGGAGCATTGTAGCTTACGAACCGTCCCTGAAAATACAATTTTTTAGGGGTGATTCTATTAAGTAAACCCTAAAAATATACCTATTTTCCGGGACGATCGGCTTAAATGAACCGTCTCTGACAATAAGGTTTTCAAGGATGGTTGCTTATGTCATCTGTCCCTGAAAATAGGTGATTTCTAGGGGCAGTTTTCTTAAGTCCACTGTCACTAGAAATCGATTTTCAAAGTCCTTAAAAATAGTTGCGGTACAAATAAATTCATATCTTTTTTCAAATAAAGTGGGATGAAGATAAAGTTTATATCAAAATTATAGAGCCATATCAAAATTCATATTTGAAAAAAAAAACCGTTAACTCAAAAACAAGAAATATTACAAACTCTAACTTTAAAAACCGGGCAAATTATCCCCTACAACAGTTAAATGTGGTTTTGAGGCACATCATCTTTTTAAAGTTCAACAAATAATCTCATGAACACAGACAAGGTAAGATTTTTAAACCATGAAAAGTATCTTCAAGACTCTAAAAAGATCAGAGATAAATCTAGAGATATATTGGGATAATGGAAACCCAAATAAAATATTAGAAGCTTAGGGAACTATTTTCCAAAATTTCCAAAAATTGGATTGAGCTCTAGGAAAAAGGAAAAATGTCTTGGAAAATCTAGAATATTCTCAAAACAATATAATCATTGTATAAATGTATTTCAAAAACCTTTCAAATGTGATGCAACCAACATTTCGGTGTGTTGCATTCATATTGGACCTGATCAAGTGCCAGGATTGTTAGGTCGGGCCAAGAAAAAATATCGGGTCTAAAAACAAAAATGCTTTTGGAAATTTGTAGTTTTTTGTAGACATCTTTTTTGTTTTCCTAGTGGCCAATCTAATTTTTGGAAGTTTCCGGGGATAATTTTTTTTACAAGTGCCAAATAATTTATTGGTGTCTCTCTTTCTCCTCCTAATATATCTCTAGAATTTTTTGGATGCCTGAAGTTGAAAAAGGACCATATGGTTTAGGCTGTGTTTGGTTCAATTTCTAGAAGGTGCTTTGTAGCTTTTTTAGAAGTAGTTGCTTTCGTGAAGCATAATTTCTACCAAACACCTTTCGTTTTTTTCTACAGCACAAAGGCACAACAGCTTTTTTATACTTCATGGCTGAAACAAAGATCTCTTCAAAAACTAATTTTGACTATTGTAGAAGATAAGTTGTCTAGGCTTTAAAGTTGAAGGACATAAGATTTTTTACTTTTGAGTTGAGGATTTCTTTTCGGACTCTCCATGATAAATTGCTTGGGGTCATAATGGACTTCACGAGCTCTTTACTGACTATAAGAGTCCATCCACATATATGCTCACTCTTGTGTGGCGTGTTATTGTAGGTGGTGGCCGCTATTTATGTGTTCGTCAAGCCATGGCCAAAATCCAACGTGACTACTACTCATGTAGGAGTACCTGACCAAGCCACTATTGACGGGATAAAGGCCAACCTGGCCCACAACGAAGAGATGAAGGCTTACGGGAGAATCTTCGCGCCAGCACTTCTCTTGTTCTTCTGTGGGATTACCAAATGCGTATGCAAGCCCTGGGACCTGAAGAGAGTCAGCGTCAACAGCCTGGTGGACTCTTCATCTGGCTCAGAAGGGAAGGGCGAGAGCGAGATCAATTCGCTTCAGGAGTACGTTGGAGCTGCAACGCAGCATTTCCAGGCCAGCCATGGAAGGGGAAGACTGCAGCAGGAGCCATCTGGCGGCGGCGGCGGCGGCGGCGACGACGACACTTGTACAGTAGAGGAAATCTGGAAGCCCTACAACCTATGCGTAGACCTCGCACCCGCCTACTCCGGTCGGCTCAGCTGCCTGAAACACCTGGTGCGTGGCAACCCGGACACAGCCCATCGCCTGGTGAAATCCAACCTCTCCGCAACGTTCCATCAGCTCTACACCAAGGAATCACTGAAGCTGCACGACATCTCGCATTTCTTTGCAAACAACGGTGTCATGAGCCGCTGGAAGGTGCTCACCTCGGCTCGAGGTCTTCGGACGATAGCCGCGGGCACCCTGCTGGGGGCGATCGCGGTGTTCTACTACGGCGACGGCGGCACTGACCAGGACCCGAAGCCGACCGACATCACCATCACGTATGCGCTGCTATGGTCTGCTCTCGTGATGGAGTACGTCTTGCCCACCGTGATCCACCACACGTTTGGCAGGATAGAGCGACTGTGTACCGGGCACCGGACATGGCCGGACCAGGTCGCGCAGTACAACCTCATTGGGTACGTGGCTCGTAGCAGGAAGCATTCCTGGCTTATGAAGGTGGCAGCCTGGCTGGGCTGCAGGGACCTGGTCGACCAGCTCTGGACCATGATGCCGTGCAAGGGTTCGTCGTCCAAACAAATCACCGGCCTCGTCCACGGCCACGTCGCCGGAGGGTGGACGGAGGGTCACATTGCCGGCGCGGACTCGTTCCGGGCGTTCAACGACTACCGGGGCCAGTGGACTCTCAGTCTCAGCAGGGAGGTCGCCGGGGTTCAGCGCACCAGCATACCGTCCATGGTACTGATGAGCAGCGTGTCGAGGCCGTTCGACGAGAGCGTCCTGGTCTGGCACCTCGCCACCGATTTCTGCTTCCACCTCCTCCAGGAGGACCCGTCCCCCTCCAGCGCCGCCGCGCGTCGCTGCAGGGAGATGTCCAACTACATGGCGTACCTCCTTTTCGTCAAGCCGGAGATGCTGATGCCCGGTGCCCGGCGCAACCTGTTCAGGGACGCGTGCGGCGAGCTCATGGATGTGCTCGAGGAGGATCCTCCGCGCACGCCGCGGGGGCGGGGCAAGAGGGGCCTCGCGCACAGGGTCATCCAGCTGCTCAAGAGGGACGGCGACGGCGACGGCGTCCTGGGCTCAGCAGGCGGCAGTGTCGTTCGTCAGGCTTGGAGCGTCGCCGAGGAACTCATGGATTCGCACAAGGGCAACGAGGAGAAGATGTGGACGGTGATCCAGGGCGTGTGGGTGGAGATGCTCTGCTTCTCGGGCAGCAGGTGCAAAGGCTACCTGCACGCCAAGAGCTTGGGCACGGGCGGGGAGTACCTGACCTACGTCTGGCTCCTGCTCTTGTACATGGGCATCGTTTGAAGGCGACGTTATGTATCTGCCACCACCCGTCCGTGACATGGTTGGAGACGAGCTCGGTGATGTCACGGGACTGACTTGAATGCTGTTAGCAGAGGATCGGAGTAGGAAGGGGCCTGCACGCGGAGTCGGTTTACAATTTTCATACGGTAATTCTTGCTGTAGGGCATCCGGACTGCGGACGCCGTCTTCCTAGGCCTAGACGTGGATCGGGCCAACAAGCAACTGGCCTGCTCCCCTACTCCCTCGTCTCTGTGAGACTGCGACCGAAACTTCCCCACTCTACGGCATTGCAGTGTTCACCGCGTTGTCCGCCCCTCCGCCTCCCGTCAAGGCATCCACCATGCCCGTGTCGGGCAGTGCGAAATCCAGGCCACCATAGATTCTCTCCCATCCAAGCTTCCTTCTCCAGAACCCACCCGCCCTCTGCGCTATCGTCACTGGCGCGCCCTACCTCATCCACCGAAACGACTTGTTGCGGCCTTCTCCCGCGCGCGCCCCACTCCGCCTCGCGGCCTTCTCCAGCGCGCGGTTCGCCTTCTTCACCGGAGCGACCAGCCGTGGCCTTCTCCACCGGACCAGCCATGGCTTCTCCACTAGAGCGGCGAGCTCCACGCCACCGGTGAGCTCTACACCTGTGAACTCCATGCAGCGACGAACCTCCATTCCCAAGCAGCAAGGAGATGTTGCGCTGAAAGTGCATGTTGCAAACATATGTTTCAAGTGTTTCAGATATTTCAGAGGTGTTGCAAAAGTAGGTCGGGATGTTGCACGTGTTGCAATGGCTATATACGTAAGTTTCAATTGTATGTTCTAAATATGTCAACTATTTCAGACGTATGTTGGAAGTGGTTCAGGTGAATGTTGCAAAAGTGGATCTGGATGTTGCATATACATATATGTTGTAAGCATGTGTTTTCAAGTGTTTGAAGTGTTTCATACATATATGGAAAGTGTTTCATCTGGATGTTGCATATGTTCGCAATGGCTACACATGTGTTTTTCTGGTGTTTCAGACGTATGTTGCAAGTGTTCCACATATTTCGAACGTATGTTGCAAGTGTTTTATTTGGATGTTGCAAAAATAGATTTGGTGTTACACATGCTGCAAGCCGTAGCCTCCTGCTACAACTGCTAGGGCGCCACCGTGGGTCACCGTGCGGACGCCTGAGGCGGGTAGACGCATCTAGGCGCTGATCCACAGGCAGGGCAGGTGATTGGGACCCATGTGGGCGCAGGCGGTCCCACGTGCGGCGGGAAGCGGAGCGGTTGCGAGCGTGCATGCGTGCCGGAAAGGAGTGGCACGGGAAACGGGGCTGTCCCCGCATGTGCGAGCGAATCCCGCGCGCGTGAATTAATTTTTTCATATCCGGCTACGGCCTACGGTAACGTCTGATGATTCAGCAGTGCACCCTGTGGCAGCATCCGATGCTAGCGTCTCAGATCGGATGTCCGTGCGCTAGCAGCTCCCATTTTCATACGGCCCTCTTAGCTCTCTCTCTCTCTCCCTTTAATACATCAGGCTGTCCATTCTTCACAGCAACTCGAGTCCCACGACATGCGGATCTGGACGAGGGATGCGAGCGGGCCGTCCTTCTTGGATGGTCTCCCTGTTGGGCTCTTCTCCTTCACATGCTGCAGGCCCGCGAGCTGGTGCCGGACCCGGCACAGTATCTTTCGATGCCCTTGGATCCTGACGCTGTGTAACATTTCCCACCGCTTAGGCCTGGGCATTTGGGTTACGCGAATTTTCAAGTCGAGTAATTCAGGTAATACAGATTCGGATAATAGAAAATGGTACCCGATTTTAGCTCTGAAAAATCACTACCCACAATGGGTTCGGGTTCAGATATACCCAGTATATCCAAGGTCCTTCAATCTGCAAGTCGCCTGTGCGCGCCTTCTCTCTCCCCAAGGTCGACGCCATCACGGCGTTTCAACTCTATTCTCTCTCCGCTGATATGTTTCGAGAAAGATATTCTGACGTCTCTTTGCATGGCCCAAAAAATTAAATGGGATGTTTCCCGGGATCGTGCGGTGAAGGAACGGGAAGGAGATAAGATTGACCGATGGTGTATGGGTTGATGATGACATGGCTTAGAAGCCAGAAAACTCCTATCTAGGTATAGGAGATAGGAAATAAGAGATTCGAAAATTGCCTATAGTTATTATTTTATATTACAGAAAATACGTATTAACGGAGTCATCCAAGCAAAGCTAAACGTGCTTAATCTTCTTTTGTCAGCACTCATTTCTATCAGCTAACGTGACGCAAAAGCCATTATTATTTTTATCTAAGCATGGTCATCCCTATCTCTTATAATTCTAAACCGCACACTACGATTCTACCTCCACATGCAAGACATGCACATGAGCATCCCACTAGCATAAGTAATTATGTAACCTATATCTATTCACAATTCTATTTCCACATACAAGACAACCACATCGGCATCCCAATAGCACATGTAATTATATCGTCTATCTATCTATGCAAGCTATCTACATCAGCATGTCATGTTATCCACGTCAGCATATCACTAAAATTTGGTATGCTTGTAGCGGTAACAAACTAACACCACCCAAGTACACACGCAGTCACGTACGCATAAGCAAGCTCCACTCATTGGAGCTTGTTGATCCGGAAGATCTGTAGTGCGGAGTTGTTCAGCTGCAGCCTTTTTCTGAGGCATTGTTTAAGCAACTTGACCGGCCCCTATGACGTGTTTATGTAACAAGCTGTACCATTGTTTTACAGGAGAGCGATAATGTGATGAAAATATACACTACAGAGTACAGACCTGAATTTCAGTCATCATAGCTTAAGAACATGCAAGAACAACAGAAAATAAAGGACAGCAGGCACAATACTAGCTAGGAGCAAACTAGTAACGACAAACATGCTGGAATGAAACAAACTGAGGTCAACATACAGAGGTGAACGAGACATGAAATATATCCAACGGTATGTACACCGTTTATCTATCAGTCATTATCGTCACCGCTTCCTGTTACCGGTGAAGCCGCTGTTGTGCCATCGCCGCCGGGATTTGTGGTCGTCACTGGTGAAGCCGGTATAGTCCCATCTGCATCACCGCCTTCCGTGACTGGTGTAGAAGCCTCTGTTGTGTCATCTCCGTGGCCGCCACCAGCGGCTGAGACTGGTATCGCTGCTGCCGTCCCATTGCCACTGCCACCGGTAGCTATACTCGATGACGAAGCTGTTGCTGTTGTGCCATTGGAGCTGCCACCGTTGTTTCTTGCATCTTCGTCCTTCAGCTTGGTCCTCTGCATCCGCTCAGACAAGGTCTCCATCCCCATGTAGGACATGAGGAGCCAGATGTAGGAGAGGCACTCTCCGCCCATGCCTAAGCTCTTGGCGTGCAGGTACCCTCTGCACCTTCCGGCAGAGAAGCAGAGCATCTCCACCCAAACTCCCTGGATCACGTACGTTCCACATCTTGGCATCATCCTGATCCATACGTAAGTTGTTTAGATGTTGACCAAGCCTCCAAGCATTGTATACGTATGTGAAACGATGTCCAAAAGAATCGACTGTGGCACTGGCTTGTTGAATATTCTGAACTATCTTCCGGAAGAACTCGCCCCCATCATGTCTCAAGGGCCCTGCACCATCATCTAGTTGAGGCATCAACTTGAGGGTCTCCTTAAGCTGCCTGTAAGCTTCTCTGAACAGGAAGCGTCTGGCGCCGGTCATCAGCATCTCCGGGTTGACGAAGAGAAGGTACACCATGTAGTTGGACATCACCCTAAAGAGTCGAGCGGTTTCGTCAGAGGGGGGTGTCGCCGTGGGGTGGAAGCAGAAGTCTGTGGCGAGGTGCCAGAGGAGGACGCTCTCGTCGAACGGCCGCTCAAGGCTCCAGGCGAGGCTGTCTCCGCACCCTTCTCGGTTGAGAGTCCACTGACCCCGGTTGTCGTTGAAGTCTCTGTAGGTGGCCACAGCGGCGGACCCAGAAAATATTTCAGGGGACTGAACAACACTGCTGTTCGATCTTAAGTCTCAATCCCCCTATACTTTAGAACTTTGCCTAAAATTTATGAGGGTTCCACTGCTACGATATGGGTAGGGGGGGCTTGAGCTCTCGGTGGCCATGTCTTTGATGTGATGCTCCGTCCACGCTTTGGCGATGTAGCCGTGGACGAGCTTTGTGATGTCGCTCGACGACTTGGACGGCTTCATACACCAGAGCTGGTCTAGTCCTAGCAGACAAGCAGGGTGGCAAGCCTCCTGAGCTTCCTGTGCTTCTTGTTTCGATTTAAGTACCCCATGAGGTTACACTGGGCAACTTCATCTGGCCATTGGCCCTTGCCATTGTCAATTCGTCCTGTTTTTTCTGTACTCGTCCCAAAATGCGTAATAATAGGTAGAAACTCCAGAACAACTGTAAGCAATATCAAGGTAAATGTGACAATGGCATCTGTATGGTCATTGGAACGAATGATTTCTGTGGCTAATAGTACCGTTGCCACTAATATCATCAAGAATGCGCAGCTGGTTACTGCAAATCGTAGGATGCGAATCCAGGCAAGCAACTGACTAGTACAATCCGGGGAGTAAACCAAAAAACCTATCTCTAATATTCATCTGCGACACCTGTGGTTCCTTGGTGTAGAGTCTATCAAACGTCACAGAGAGGCCATACCGTAACAAGCGATGTGCTTTGTCTGCTGCATCATGCACCACGGCTTTGAGGCAGCTAAGGCGAATCAAATGATGAGGTGTAAGGTCCACGAATAGATCGTAGGGCTTCCAAACTTCATCGTCTTCGGGAGCGGCCAATGGGAATCTGTGGCCCTCCTGAAAATACCTCGTTGCATCTCGAACGTACTTTTTTTGAGACGAGCTCAGGCTACGAACTTGTTCCGAACGAGAAGAGTCGACGAGGCTATTGATGCTAACTCTCTTCAAGTCCCATGGCTTTAACACACGCATTTGAGAATCCCAACAACAAAAAACAGAATCATCACTGGTGCCAAGATTCCTATATTTTCTGGCCACGACTTCCGAAACACGTATATTGCAACGGCGACCTGTTAATTACATACCAGGGTTGGTTATTGAAAGTAATTAAGAAAGAAAGAAAAGAACCCTTTAACTAAATTAAACATAAATAAAATGTCTATTGGAGCATCTTGAAGTTTTGTAAAATAACTCCCTATCTTGATTTTTTAGCAAAAAAGGAAAAAGTCCTCTCTAACAATTTGGTAACGAGCTCCTTAAAAATTAAAAAATGTTGTTAAATATCTTCTCTAACTCCTAAGTTTCCAAGCCGGGAGGAAATGCATATCCATCCTCCTCATATGACGTTTTTCTTGGGAGATCAGAGGAAATTGGACGCATGAGTAATTTAAAAAAATAAAGGGTCTCGCGTGAGAAATTGATAAGAGAAAGAAACTACTTCCTCCGTTCCAAATATTCTTCGTTCCAAATTATAAGATATTTTGGCATTTCTAGATTCATAGCTTTTGCTACGCACCTAAATATATAGTATGTTTAGATACATAGTAAAAGCTATGAATCTAGAAATCCCAAAATGTCATATAATTTGGGAAGAAGTATTAAAAGGTTTGATTGGTTATAAATAGTTGGGGATTCTCAATGCAAAATCGTTTAGAAAGGTAGTCTAGTGTCGGTGTTTTAGAAATCGGATTAGTAAATTTATACGATTGGCGCGCTGCTCTAGGAAGACGATGGTAGCATCCAAAAGACACGAGGATTTATACTGGTTTAGACCGGAGTCCTACGTCCAGTCTTAGAGATGATCGAGTGCGTGTTCCTCACATGAATGCTCTGAAGTTCTTACAATGGGGGGTGCAAGAATGGTGAAAGAGATGGTATCTTCAGGAGCCCTACTACTATGGTGAATGAATGAAATGGTAGAGGATCTAGAATGAGTGTTCAAGATGTCTAGAGAGGGTGCCCTGGTTGTCCTTATATAGAGTTTGGGGCCAGGGCATATACAAAGAGGAGGTTCTCCCGACCGAAGGGTCGAGAGCCTAAGGGAGGGCCTAGCTAACTTGGCGTGCAAGCTACGCCTATCTTGTGGAGTACGTCCAGGCGTGGCCATCATCATGGTCTTGTGGCCATGTCATGGCAGGGCATGACGTAGTGCTCTGTCTGCTTGGCCATGTTGGCACTCTGAGACACTGGTGGTGGTTCGCCAGCCATCCTACACAATGCGGTGTCCATCGTGGTCTTCGTCATCGTCTTCTGGTTTCTAGGGGCGTCGTACCCGGAGTAGGTAGCCGCCCTAGGTCATCGATCGCCGGGTTGCTTTGCGGGGCTGAACGCCATGACCCAGATCACTAGGGTCGGGGCTTCCTGCCTGTCTGGATGGTCTCTACATTGAGACCCTTGTCGTGGATCCCATCCCTTAGTGGGTTGGATCGTACATGCATCTTATCGGTCTGTATTTGGACAGTGGGTATCATACCCGTTGTCAGCGCTGTGCGGTGTTGTCTTGTCTGTGTAGTGCAGCACAGGGTTGGCGTTTGACCGAATCGAGGTGACTGCCATCCCTTCGGTCCTGGCGAGGTCAGTGCGGTATGCTTGCTCTTGTCAGAGTGGGTATCCTTGGCTGAGGTCGACCCCTCCCTGTCCCTCCCAGGGGTCGTGATGGGGGAGAGGTCGTGCATCGCTCGAGCGACGTACGGCTAAGGTAGGAGGAAAGGGTCGTGGCTGACCCCGGCCTTAGCGTCTGGTCTGGTGCGCTTGGCTTAGTTAGGCCTCTGTCGTTCGGGCTTTCTCTAGCCGATGTGTTACGGGCCGCGCGGCCTACCGCTTAATCGGTGCCTTGAGACACCCCGGGGTTATAACCCCGATAGTAGCCCCCGAGCATTTTTGCGACCACGATAGATGTGCGTGCGTTAGAGCGTGGGCTCGTAGTCATGGCTTACTCGAGCTTCGTTGCTCGACCCCTAGTGGGCTAGTGCGTTCAATGTGATAGGTGGTCGTCGTGTTCCACTTTGCCAGGATGTCCTGGCGTTGTGGTACATGACCGCTGAGGCTTGCCGTGTTAGTGTGCCGTGCATCGGGGTTTGCGACCCAAGCGAAACCGAGTAGTCTTGTCGACATTGTACTAGTCCACCTTTGGGAGGGTCTTGATCCTCCAGACCTCATGCGGGCATCTGACGTTGGTTGTGCCCCCTCCATGGTTCGCCATGTGGCGTGGGGCCTATAAGTAAAGGTTCTTCTACTGTTTGAGCCGCTTATGGTTGTGACTCCAATTCCCCCCAGATTTCCCCGAAAGGCTAGGTGTCGAGAAGGTGAGGAGGCGAGAGTAACGTTGTTCAAGGAGAACCACGTGGTTCTCGTTATACGTCCCATCGGGGGTCGCTTACGATGGCCGGAGCCAGTATTGTTCCTTCAGCGGTCGATGCTAGAAGGGAACTTGCGAGCAGGGGAGTGAGAGGTGCCACGGGCCTTTGTGCCGCGAGGGCCGGACTTACGGGTCCAGCTTGATCTTGCTGGTGGGTTCTCCTCGTATTGATGATGCGAGGAAATACTTCCTCGACCTCTACGGGTATAGTCACGAGGTTTTCAGCGATCGTGCGTTGGCTCATAGGTCTTAGACCTTCTGTCTCTTCCGCGTGACTGAGCCGTGATCATGTTTTGGGTTCCGCATTGCGCGTCACCCGAGCCTCTTGCTTCGTTGATCTCTCCTAGAGAGGTCGTGGATCCCTAACATTTATGAGTCTCCAGAGCAGGCCTTAGGTCTAGGACCTGGGTCGCAGGGTAGAGTTGGTCAGGGCTTGGCCCTGACCTCTTTCGGGGTCACAGGAACCCAACTTCGTTTTTCCCTAGCGTCCTTGCCGACCCCGAGAGGTTGTGTTGCCTTGTTACAGGCGGGTTTGGTTTCGCCCCAAGCGGGGAGAGGCATGTCTGGGTAACCACGTAGTCAGAGCGGCGTGCCTCATCGGGGTCTATGGGTAATTCAAGTGGGATCCGATATCCTCCCCAGTCGACATGGAGTTTGGCTGTGACTCACGTGAGACATCCCATAAATCGTCGACCGTCAATCCCGTTGGTCCCCAACCACCTCCACCGTGGCCATAGTGCAAGATGCCTCCCACCCAGAGGGGTCGACCTAGGAGACTTCGAAGCGGATGACTCCAACATAGGGAGAGATGGTCATGTGGATCCACACCACCGATTAGAACCGCAGGGGCCCATCTCCTCCTTGCCCCTATCCCTTTTGTGGCCTTGATCCCTTCTAAGGACAAGCCCAAGAGTGGGTTTCCTAAGTACGACATGGGGTCGTGATCACGGCGGGCTGCTTGGCGCACAATCTCGGGGGGCGGTCAACCTCCCTAGTCACATCGTGGCGTAATGGCGATCGCCCATGTATGGTCGTGCGCCGTGAAATTCGGGCGCGTAAATTGAAATGACATGGAGAAAGTGGGGGTTTGCGTAGCTTACTTGATTCGCACTATTGCGTGGGCGACCGTTGTTCCGCCTCCCCTCCGACCGCTTCACCTGCTCTGTGGGCTTTTCCAAGCAATTAGTAAATATAGTTGTGCGCGCGTGCGCCTTGAGCTTCCTTAGTGGCTACAAATACACTTGGAGTAGTGCGGTGAGGAGGCATTCGCCCTGAGTTGTCTGCTCCTCCACTTCTTCGCTCTTGCCCTAGATCATCTGGGGTTCCTTTCTTGTCGATGAGGATGAGTCATGGCAAGCGACCGCTGGAAGTGTTGTTGGGGTGCTGCCACCTATCCGTCCTTGCCTGCGCGATCAAGGGTAAGTGC